GACGGAGACGGCGAGGAGGAGGACGGAGAGGATGCAGGAGGAGACGCGCAGCACCGGGTCCCTGGTGACGACCCATCACCAGGGTTGTGTGTGTGTGTGTGGGCTGTGGGGGGTGAAGGTAGCCGAAGGGCAGAAGGCTTGAAGGGGGGTGGCAAGGGAGGGAGGGGGGGATGGCGATCGCCTGTGCCCGGCAAAGATCAAGTCAGGCCTCAACGGGCATCGGGCCGGAGATGTGTGGAGGCAGGCGGGAAGGGAGGCGGAAGACGATGGGGGGGGGGGGGGGCGGGCTCCCGCACGGCCCGACGCTGAGCAGGCGCTTTCCCGTGTCGGCCGGCCAGGACGGGGGAGGTGCAGCAAAATTGGGGAGGGGTGGGGAGGGCGGCCTGCAGACAGCTAGAGCTTTGCTCGCAGAGGGCCGAACGGCGTGTCCGGAGGCACAAGAGCAGCATGTTGATGATGTACGTGATGCTGATGCTGATGCTGCTGGTTGTGGGGGTGACGATGACGATGATGACGATGATGACGATGGTGATGATGGTGATGAGGGACTCGTACCAAGCAGTCTTCTTGTCGATGACGGAGACGGCGAGGAGGAGGACGGAGAGGATGCAGGAGGAGACGCGCAGCACCGGGTCCCTGGTGATGACCAGGGTTGTGTGTGTGTGGGTGGGCTGTGGGGGGTGAAGGTAGCCGAAGGGCAGAAGGCTTGAAGGGGGGCGGCAAGGGAGGGAGGGGGGGATGGCGATCGCCTGTGCCCGGCAAAGATCAAGTCAGGCCTCAACGGGCATCGGGCCGGAGATGTGTGGAGGCAGGCGGGAAGGGCTCGCGCACGGCCCGGTGCTGAGCAGGCGCTTTCGCGTGTCGGCCGGCCGGGACGGGGGAGGTGCAGCAAGATTGGGGAGGGGTGGGGAGGGCGGCCTGCAGACAGCTAGAGCTTTGCTCGCAGAGGGCCGAACGGCGTGTCCGGAGGCACAAGAGCAGCATGTTGATGATGTACGTGATGCTGATGCTGATGCTGCTGCTGGTGGTGGTGACGATGACGATGATGACGATGATGACGATGACGATGATGACGATGATGACGATGGTGATGATGGTGATGAGGGACTCGTACCAAGCAGTCTTCTTGTCGATGACGGAGACGGCGAGGAGGAGGACGGAGAGGATGCAGGAGGAGACGCGCAGCACCGGGTCCCTGGTGATGACCAGGGTTGTGTGTGTGTGTGTGGAGGGCAGAAGGCTTGAAGGGGGGCGGCAAGGGAGGGAGGGGGGGATGGCGATCGCCTGTGCCCGGCAAAGATCAAGTCAGGCCTCAACGGGCATCGGGCCGGAGATGTGTGGAGGCAGGCGGGAAGGGAGGCGGAAGACGATCGGGGGGGGGGGGGGTTCTGGGCCTGGAGAGGGTCAAGGGGAGGGTCACTTGGGTCAGGGCGGTGCTAGGCAGCACGAGAACATTGGGGCGCACTGGTCGCACTGGGCGGTACCCTGAAAGTCGCAGCAGTCCACAGGCATTGGTTCGCGATCAGTGGGTTGGCCGCGCTGCAGTCATACTCCGCCGGGCAGCACGAGAACATTGGGGCGCACTGGTCGCACTGGGCGGTACCCTGGAAGTCGCAGCAGTCCAGGCATTGGTTCGCGATCAGTGGGTTGGCCGCGCTGCAGTCATACTCCGCCGGGCAGCACGAGAACATTGGGGCGCACTGGTCGCACTGGGCGGTACCCTGGAAGTCGCAGCAGTCCAGGCATTGGTTCGCGATCAGTGGGTTGGCCGCGCTGCAGTCATAGGGCGATGCCGACGGCGGCGGAAGGGGCGAGGCAGAGGGGGGCGGAAGGGGCGAAGCCGACGGCGGCGGAAGGGGCGATGCCGACGGCGGGCAGCACGAGAAGATTGGGGCGCACTGTGTGCAATCGGGGAAATTCCACAAGTTGCAGCAAGTCAGGCAATTGTTCGCGATATATGGGTTGGCCGCGCTGCAGTCAAGGGGCGATGCCGACGGCGGCGGAAGGGGCGAGGCAGAGGGGGGCGGGAGCGGTGAGGCCGATGGCGGCGGGGGAGGGGTGAGGCCGACGGGGATGGGTGGGGCGACGCCGACGGGGGCAGGAGGGGCGAGGCCGACGGGGGTGGCGACGGCGAGCCCTGTGGAGTCGAGCTGAAGCCGAGGACCGCGCCCGCGAGTAGGCCCAGCCCCAGAGGCATCTCCTGTGTTTGCGCGACGTTGTGGGTCGCGCGCGCGCCTCCAGGGAAAGAAGGCGGTGAAGGTGGGCATCCCGCAAAATGGTACGAGATCCAGGGCGGGAGCGCGGGCGACCAGCGGGCTGCTGGCGGGCAGGCTGGCGTCCGGGCTGGCGAGAGGGCTCCTGAGCTCACCTCTCCAGTGTTGTTGGACCGGGCTTTGCACGGCGGCTGTAGCAAAAAGAATTTGGTGAGGACCTCGCACGACACTAGGCACGACAGCATACCAGTCGCGCTCCCAATACGTGCATCACTTTTGTATGGTCCACCTGAGCGGTACGAACTAGACCGTGCATGTACACGGCGAGAAGGGAGGCGGCAGAGGACACAGAGAAGAGGGAGATAGTGGACCGACGGACGTACGGGCACATGTCTCAGAGCGCGCACGTGTGGGTGTGCGAACAATTTCGAAAGACGGTGAGGCCGGGATCGCACACGGCAGGGGTGGCGGCTGGCGGGACGGCTGTGGAGCGAAGTGGCCGTAGCCAGCCTCAAACACCCATGGGACAATAAGATGAGATTACCAGACGAGAACGGGGGGAAGGACAGGCGGGCGACATTTGACGACGTCGGGGATCACAATGTGACGACCAAAACGATCTTGGGGGCCAGGGTGAGACAACAGGTCGGGGTGCCACATGGGGCACACCACAGGCGTATTCTAGAGGGAGAAAAGAAACGGGGAATGAGGGGCCCCGCCACAAGGAGTGCGTTTTGGGGATGCAGAGCGTGCAAGGCGGCTAGGGATGAGGCCACAAAAGAGGCGCGCGAGGCAAGGAGGAGAATCGGAGAACGGAGAGACTGGGACGACTGGACACAAGAAGACAGCGAGCCACCACAGGCGTCGTTGGCGCACCTACTGAGCGGCAGCTGCGCTGGGAATAAGGAAGAGGCGCGTTACTTCATGCGGAAGCTGACAAACACGCGGCGAGGGCGACATGGCCCTGGGAAACTGGCGCGTGGCGGCGCACGCAGGCGGACCTTGTGTGTGCGCGGAACGCTTAAAAAGTGGGTGCTCCACGTCACTTTTTTTGAGTAAATAAATAAAATAAATAAAACGGACACCTCTACGCTAGGAGATGGGTAAAAAGGAACAGGTCCCCGCCCTGCGGTCTTTGTGCAGGGTTCTTTGTGGGTGTGGTCGGCGACGTAGCCGGGGTCGTCCTCCCGATGGGGGACTAGCACTAGCCGTCTTCCACATGGTCCCTCGGGTCCCTGCTGCTCCTAATCTCGTCGTACATCCTCCTGCTGATCTCCGCAACATCCTGCTCCCTCCCTCGTCTCGCCCTGCGCGTCTGCTCCGCCTCCCCGTCATCCGCCCTGTGAGCTGTGTCGTCTGGCGACGGGTCCTCCATAGTCGGTCGAGGTCGCCGCCCTCCTCGTGCCTCTTCCCAACGTTCCCTCGGCGGCCGATGCCGTCTGCTCCGGCTCCCCAGTCCCCGGGTCTGCCCTGCTCTCGTCTGCGCTAGCTTCTGTTTCGTCATCACTGATGTCCGTCCTCTTCTTTCTCCTCTTGTTGTATGCTTTGTACATCGCGTCGATTCCTTTTCGCGTGAGCACCACCCTGAAGCCCGCCCAGCAGCTGAACCGTATGAAATGTCGCTGCGGCTGCCTCTCGAGATGCGCGAGGAGGGGCGGGTGGGGGCTGTGTTGCGTCTTTCTTCGTCTCGATCCCACTCTCGGAGCCCCTCGAGAGAGCCTTTTCGGTACGCCGCCTCGATCTGCTGTAGCGCGGGCTTGCAGTCGCTCAAGACGAGGCACCTCCTGTCCGCCGCATCCTCCGCCGTTGCCATCTTACGCAGGTAAGCCAGCACCGCGTACATTTCCGCGTCTATCACCTGCCAGTCGTCTGGCAGTTTGCCGCCCCACAGCCCCTGCCCAAACGCGAGCCGCAGCTCATCGTCCCCGCCTTCGAGCTGTCCAGATCCCTCGACGGGTCTCCCGAATCGGGCCGGTCCTTCGTACACCCCATACGACACAACTGGTCGCGGCACGAACCTATCGCTATCCCCCACCCACTTGTTTGGCAGGTCTCTCCCTCCATCCGTCGCAGCGAGGTGCGTGAATGGCCGCGCTCTGTGCAGCGCGAGGCATATCCTGGCAACCTCCGCGTTGAGCTCACGGCCCTTCTCCGAGCCGAGCGGCTCTTTATCCTTGCCCATCATAATCTGCGTCCCGTTTCTGTCGGACAGCGCCCGTGTCCCGACCTCAAACTCGTCCCACCGCAGTAGGAAGCGCGTAAGCGGATCCTCCTGGAGTTCGGCGTCTCTTACCCACGCGCCGTGCCTCGGGGGCGAGCCCTCCATCTCTCCTACTACCCCTCCCATCTCATCGCGTGTCGCCAGTTGCGGTCTCGCTACTCCGCTCGGAGGCTCCTGCTCTTTCAGCTCGCACGGCTGCCGGTATCCGAGCGCCTCCTCACTCGCCCTCGCCATCGAGCCGAGCTGGCCGCAATTTTTCCTGGACCTGGTCTTTGCCGGCGGGTTCTGAACCACAGACTTTTTGCAACTAGTCCCGCGCGCCCCCACACGCGACACGCCGACACGCGACACGGCCTCGATCGCCATGCAAAGCTCGCTACCGAGCTCCCACGCAAGAACCCTTTTCCTGGCTCACAAGCTAAAGATGTTCACGGGCCCCCACAGGGAGTCTCCCGCATCCCGGCGGTCCCGCAAGGGGAGCCCCGGGTACTCGTCTAGGCAGGGGTTGGCTCCCACGCCGCGCCCGTAGGGCCTTTAGGGGCCTAGAGAACACACACCCCTCTCCCTTTGATTCATTTTTCAGTACCAAGTAACCTCTGGCCCGCCGTCCCCTCTGTCCCGACCCCCTGCCAGGTCAACCACCACGCTCGAGCTGAGCCCGGCGCACGCCGCAGCCGCCACCGCGCCGAGGGCCGCCTCGAGCAGCGCCCGCTGGGCGAGGCGGCGCCAGCTCGCCAGCCGGTCGTCCCACCCCTCCGGCGCGGCCGCGTCGTCGCGAGGCAGCGGCGGCGTCGCGTACTCGAAAGCAACCAGGCATCGCGACAAGTCGTCTGCGAGGCCGCGGCTGCTAAACGTGCGCGCGACGCCTCCGCGCGGGGTTGAGGGGGCGGCGGCGGCGGCCTCCTCCGCCTCCACGTCGACGAGGCGCCACCGGACGGAGCCGTCCAGCATGAGCGCTGCTCCGGCGGGCAAGTGCAGCACGGCGGGCTCGAGGAGTCCGGGTGCGGGCAGCACCTAGCAGAAAGGTCTAGGAAAGGTCTAGGAAAGGTCTAGGAAAGCTCGAGGAGTCCGGGTGCGGGCAGCACCTAGCAGAAAGGTCTAGGAAAGGTCTAGGAAAGGTCTAGGAAAGCTCTAGGAGTCCGGGTGCGGGCAGCACCGAGCAGAAAGGTCTAGGAAAGCTCTAGGAAAGGTCTAGGAAAGGTCTAGGAGTCCGGGTGCGGGCAGCACCGAGCAGAAAGGTCTAGGAAAGGTCTAGGAAAGGTCTAGGAAAGCTCGAGGAGTCCGGGTGCGGGCAGCACCGAGCAGAAAGGTCTAGGAAAGGTCTAGGAAAGGTCTAGGAAAGCTCTACGACTCCGGGTTGCGGCCAGACCCCGACCAGAAGGGAGGAG